TTGCACGGCTAATAGTTTTTTTTTTGCGTTGCATTTGTCATTAGAACTGGTTTCAATAGTTCAGTGGCTGACATTTTATTTTGAGGAAGTTGAGTATTGTGTTCAACTTAGATTAGATGTGAATGTTATTAGAACTTCTGATAGCAAAATGATCGATAGAATTTCAACAAGGTGTGCTCAGATATCACTTCTATTTGTATCTCTTCCTTATGATTAGTAAATAAACTATCTGTAAGGATGGAATTAAAGGCTAATTACTGATATGGAAAAAGTTTCACTTCTATAAACAGTTAAATATTTAAATCATCTTTAAAACCTTTGCACCGAATGGAAAAGAACAAACGTCCCATAAAACACAGTTTTCTGTAGCATTTTCTGGCAGCTGACTAAGATTAATAGTTGATGCATGCGAACTCATTTAAGTTTTTTAATTGAGAAGTTTTGCAGCAAATAGTTTGATTTGTAGCTTGTTCTTTTCACACTTAGATAAAGGGTCTTTTTCTAGCTTTGGGATAGGGTAGACAATTTCATTTGGTGAGTTCACTGCCCAATGACTAAACGTTAAATGTTTTATGAATTTGTTATCACATCCTTGAATATTAACAAAAACTTCCAAAATTTCGCATGACCATTGAGAGACAGTGAGTAATAAAAAACTCATAATCACTCGGAGTACCCATAAACCATTATTCTCTAAATGATTTTCACTACAAATCGAAGTTAGTTAAAAGACAACTAAAAACTATGTAGCATTGTGTATCTTTCCGCATCATAGTTCCGAAACTCCTCACAGATCAACACCAGTAAAATAAAAAATTGTTTAAAAATACGCACGAGTTGTAAATATAAGAAGTAATAGAAAGGTTTTAGAGCTAAAATTCTAGTCATGTTCGTGAAATTAAATTCCATCTCGCTGGATTTATCAGATATGGAATGTTGTTTTCATATCCTGAAAAAATGATATGACTAATAGAAAGGGCATAGCCGAATACTATTTTCTTAATGTCTGTTGTCACTAATTAGTTACACAGTCAAAGATTATGCACACGTTTATAAAAGTAATCAAACAGTAGACTAATTTATAACCATCAAACAGTTACTGCATTATGTTAAACTCTTACTGGTCACCTATCTACCAGCACATTAAGCCCTGCATCTTGGAACTATTTACCAAAGTCAAAAATAAAAAAATAATTTTCATATTTGGTAGTAGCTTTCAATCATTCGGATAATTTAATCAAGAGAGTACTTGATAGATGTGGCGACTTGTCCTGGAACTTTTCCCTTACAGTTATTCTCATGGTCGAAATTCGGACTTGTAGGTTCCGCTGACAGTACATTGTCTCATGAATTTTATAACAAGGATTTTCAATCATATTCATGTCATTATTTATACCAACTTATCATTCCAACCAATCACGAAATCATGATTTCTTAGTTGATTTACAAATTCATTTCTACTTCCAGTTTTCATAATATCAATTAATGAGTAATGAGCAATAATGAATCTGAGTCAACTGATCTGTAGTAAACATTGATGATCAACTTTTGAAATACAGACTAAGCTGCAAATACCGTTTACTAAAGAATAGTTTAACAACTAAAGGTTGAATTGTCATTCGCTTAATTTGGTAGGGTTAGTTAAGATTCCAAGACAGATCGACTGGACTTACTTATAAAGATATATATAACAGCAATAATTACTTAGTCAAATATCAAGGTTTGAGAACTTTTAGTGAAAACAAAAATAAATACCAACAGCACTGTAATAAGGTTACTTGACTATTTATTCTTTCTACAAGTAAGCTATACCAAAATGTCCTTAAATTTAGTGAGTTAATAATCCTGAGAATAGTTGAAATGAAGCCAACCGTACAAATGTACGGTAGCACTAAATGAACAGTTTGTTCTGACTGACGCCAATGTGCAACAGATTTTGATTACCACTTAACTGCTTTAAGGCATGGTTACCAGTGATATACCCAAAGAGATATTGGGTGAACATCATCAAGGACCAAAACAGTAGTTCTTAACAATGACCCTGGTCATGTAAAACTGAATTGTGACTAATTACCTAGTTGTTAAGACCCATAATGAAGGCCGTAATATTTTCAAATTCCTTCTAAACTTCTACCATGTTGAAATGAAACGGCTATATGACTTAAGGTATTTATTGACATTTTTAACAAATCGATTTAGTTATTAACTGGTTGTTTGTGTACGTGCCATTTGTAAGCAAGACGATATTGACCTTCTTTATATACTAGTACACTGCTATGTCCAGTGCATTGATTAATTTATCTAATAATATCGATAGTCCGACGAATCAATGATTAAGGTATTTTCGATCAGTTCTCGATGTTAGAAATTCAGTTAAATTAAAAATAATAGAAATCAATGAATCCGTTTAACGTTCACATTGTTTTCATGATTGTTTATTGACTAACATGCAAAAACACAGCATAGTGAATTTTACTAACCAAAATATTCCGTTTGTTATTGACTTAATTGCCTTTACTATGCGCTTTTTGTCTGGAGTTTTAATTACTAAACATTGAGGGCGTATTATTTACCTACTAAATGTGGAATAAACATACTAAAATTCTGTTTAGAACAAACTTTAATTTCTCCAAGATAGTTAAACAAAACGAATGAACTGTCTCTTATGCTTCATTTACTAAACCAACACTCATAAAACAAACTAATTCACTAATACTATAAATAATACTCAGCGGTCACTTCCAGGCCTGTGTTTGATACCTAGAGGGGGGCTTATGGATGCACATTGTTGGATAGTCTAATATTTGTACGGAAGATCTGTCCACAGATTCATGCTTTGAATGGTTGTCTAACTACTTATACAGTGATGTAAACTAGGGAATCCATCAGTTTCTGCTATATATGAAAGTCGTGAGTTAGAGGTCATATCAACATTTTACATAAATAATCTTTATTATGACAATGAATCATCAATTAACATAATTATATTACGGTGAACAGTATTCCCCACACTATCGGGACTAAAAATAAAATGCTGAACTCTGACTACTGGAGTTATGAGTGAGCTGCAGAAATATTTCAGGGTACTAATTAAAAAAGTGAGGAAAACCCATAATTGATTATATCAAAGCAAGTGCTATATTATGCCACGAACTTCAAAAAGACGCAAGGTCCTATTCACTTGCTTTAAATGATGTCTAAATTTTAAATCGGTTGTCATGAGACTGTGAGCTTCCGATAAAATACTCAAACCAGACAATGAAATAATGTATCATATTGGTCCATAAATAGTTCACCAAAGTTACCATTCATAATTCTTATCGGGACACAACAAGTGTAGTGTTCGAATTTCTTCTGTAGTATCGTTTTGTATGTTAAGCCCATATACTTTATTCTAGCTACTGGCCAAGCCAATTCACCAATATATCATGAGTCATATTTTGATCTTGTTAATTATTCGCTTATTAACCTTGACTACTTTTTTATATGAGCGTATGTGTATGCATACTTCGTATCATATTCATCATATGTCTGTCATTCATTTTTGTATGATTATAAACGTCGATTAACGCTTGCTTAAAATGAGTTGGCTTCCCCGCCATCTCCAATACGTGTCATGTATGCTTCGCACGCTAACATTTGCTCATGTGATCATAACTTTCTGGTCTGCATCATTTATCAATATTAATGTAGTTGCCGCTTCTCTTTGCCTTCTGATATTATGCACCGTTAAAACTTGCATTATAACGGTTATCGAGGTGAACTATGAACGAAACACGGCACTACACAATTGGCGACCCCGACTTACGAAAGCGAGGCGAAGTTGGTAACTTCAACGTACGAACTCACAACACTTATATGGCTCATAGCTTCTCCTGTAGACATCGATCTTGATTGCTTGTTATTGACCTTTAACCTGTCATTGAACTCTACAAACCTTGTCATCTGAAAATCAAAGTTTCATACTATTTTCGACTTGAACTGTCGGTACTTAGTTTGGAAAATGAATTTCGTCCGAAGTATCGGGAGTTTAGATATTCATCAATAGAACAAGCACAGCTTCTATCAAAATATTACTCTATATTATTCATCCCATTATTCAACTAGATATTTTTGGATGTTTCATTTATTCTGAGTTTTTTTAACAAAGACTGGCATCAGCCAGAGAACTAATGAACATCAAGGATTTACTTCAATATATAATAATATTCATATGCATATATGAGGATGTTATTGAAAATAGCATTGTTCACTTATATGTGTTGTTCTGGTTCGCAATATGGGGATTTCTAGAACTGAAAACCAAGGAATAATAGACCATACAGCTCATGTTTGAAGCCACATAGGATCAAACCTAGAACAAAAAGCCATAAGGAGAGAACTCTACGACTGAACTACCGATTGTTAATCCATGGTTCTAAATAAACATGCGTAGAGGCTATTATTCATTGCTATCAATAAGGATCTATTTCGGTCTCGACACAGTCAACTCTGGATGTTAAGTTGAGAAATCTGCCTTGGAGAAAGTCTAATAATTTAGTGATCATTCTTAGATCGACTATTCATACCATAATTGAAGTAAAACCGGAAGATTAATGGTTCAATCCATTGTTCATTGAAAGATATCCGTAGCTAAACAATAAATTGTGGACATATACATCTATTACTACCTAATTTTTGATGGTTTTCCAGCATATTTGTTTGATCTTTTTAAGTCCAGTGTTTCGAAAACCAACCAATCTTACAAACAAAAGTTATATAACATGACCACTGATGAAAGTCTTTGATGTGCTAAGAAAATCACCAATTTAGGGTATAACAGTTGTACTTATTTTAATGGTATATTGCCTGTTACATATCTAATATTGTTCTACAAAGTGAGAGACAAACGCATAGGAACACCACTTAGACTGATGACGTATCTAATACTGATGAATAAGATTTGCGTAATTACATATGTTACTTCACAAACAAAGAAGACCAGTGATAACAAGTTATGTGCAAAATAGATAATTTTATTTGTGGGTTGTCTAATGAAAACCCCATTCACACTTATACATAAATGACATAATTTTCATAAAGACGTCTAACTACTGATAAGTAGTGTAAAACGACAAGATAATTAATTCAGGTTAACAGTCAGTAATTTTCACCATATATACTCGAATGATAGATAAATACACGGAAATTTCTGTGATAAAGTGAACTAATCAAATTCTCCATCGTCAACTGTTGCATCTTGATATTGTTGATATTCACTTACCAAATCATTCATATTTGATTCAGCCTCAGTAAATTCCATCTCATCCATACCTTCACCTGTATACCAATGTAAAAACGCTTTACGACGGAACATTGCGGTAAACTGTTCAGAAACACGTTTAAACAACTCTTGAATAGCCGTACTATTACCAATAAAAGTCACCGACATCTTCAAACCACGAGGAGGAATATCACATACTGCAGTCTTCACATTATTCGGAATCCACTCAACAAAGTAACTAGAATTCTTATTCTGCACATTCAACATCTGCTCATCCACCTCCTTCATTGACATACGACCACGGAAGATCGCGGCCACTGTCAAATAACGACCATGACGAGGATCACAGGCAGCCATCATATTCTTTGCATCGAACATTTGTTGTGTCAGTTCAGGCACAGTTAATGAGCGATACTGTTGACTGCCACGACTTGTCAATGGAGCGAATCCTGGCATGAAGAAATGCAGTCGAGGGAATGGGACCATATTCACTGCCAGTTTCCGTAGATCAGCATTCAGTTGTCCAGGGAATCTGAGACAGGTGGTCACTCCAGACATGGTTGCACTGACCAAGTGATTTAGATCTCCATAAGTGGGGTTAGTTAACTTGAGTGTTCTGAAGCATATGTCATAGAGCGCTTCGTTGTCGATGCAGAAAGTTTCATCAGTGTTCTCAACAAGTTGATGTACAGAGAGCGTAGCATTGTATGGCTCGACAACAGTATCTGAGACCTTGAAAAGCAAGAAAAAATGTTTACTATTTTTCAAAGTCATATAAATTATCTTCTTTAAAAAATACAATTTTTAAAAATCAAAATAGTTTCTGCAATGTTCAATGGTCATCGCCAGTATCAATCAGAGTTTTCATGTGGCTTGTTCTAAAAATTAATATTTCGACATAAAAATATCGCATTGGATACTACTTAGTCATTATCTTGAATACGAAACGCATCATCAATCTGTTGGTTTATGTAATCCCTTAGAAGAAGGTTATACTAAGTGGTCAGTAAGCACTTTATAAATCACGAATTATTTCGTGACTTTAAATTAATGAAGGTAAATGGCTTTAGAAATACACTCATATATGTGTAATAAATGTTTCTAAAATTTAATTTATTCGAATCCGGTTCATTAGAATAGTTTATCATTCAGCATGTACTGATGATTTTAATGACTAAAGCATATGTGTCTGAATTCGTTTTCCTATATAGCTCAACTAAACTGGCTATTAGTAAGATAGTGAGAATAAATACTCTTATATGAAACTCCTTTTAGGATAAAGTTTACAAATTTAACAACTTTCCCATTTGTTGGGAGAAATGGACAATTGTTAATGATAGATAAGCTACCGAGATGAAAAGTTTTATTTAGGAATGTCCACTGGAATATTATTTCGTTGGTTAATAAACTTATAACTACAATACTATTATTCTAATGGTCTTAATTTTTCATATCGCTGAGATTCAGGGTTGAGTCTGATCAGTATCTAATGACACGTTGAATGTTTTTATAATCCTTGTAGTTACATTTGATTACAATATTAGTGTTAAGTCTAGTGATAACTGTATAGCGAAAATTTTATGTACAAAGTATTGAACATCGACATGCCAAAATTAATTATTCATTTACCTTTGGTGACGGAACAACTGAAAATGTATTCATTATTCGATCAGGATACTCTTCACGAATTTTAGAAATCAACAGTGTTCCCAAACCTGAACCAGTTCCACCACCAAGTGAATGAGTCAATTGAAAACCTTGAAGAGAATCCGTGTTCTCTGCCTCCTTACGCATCACATCTAATACTGAATCTACAAGTTCAGCACCTTCAGTATAATGACCTTTAGCCCAGTTGTTTCCTGCACCGCTTTGTCCAAATACAAAGTTATCTGGACGAAAAAGTTGACCAAAAGGACCTGCACGAACACTATCCATTGTTCCTGGTTCCAAGTCTACTAATATTGCGCGTGGAACGTATTTTCCTCCCATTGCTTCGTTATAGTAAACGTTAATCCTTTCCAGCTGGAGATCTGAATCACCATGATATGCTCCTGTTGGATCGATCCCATGTTCATCAGAAATCACTTCCCAAAACTGAAAATAGTAAGCACTATAATAATTTACATAAACAATGGATATTTATTTAAAAATATGATTATTTTCCTGACATAGATTCTTGATTTATTTCATTATGCAATCATCCTACTGATAAAGTAATTTGGATATGGAGACAAGAAAATCTGATATAACAGTTATTTGGATTCAAAATAATCGTCATCATACTTTTCAACAACACTAAAAACAAATGAAACAATACTATGATAAACGTGAAATAAATCAGTGTTCATTGATCAGCCCGTTTATTTTGAGCTAACAAATAAGTCATAAACAGGTTCTCTATAGTTGCATTTATCTATGTAGAGCTACAATGCGTGCGTGAGAATTAATGTTAATACCCGGCTATTAAGCCTGACGTGGATGCAGTGTGATCTGAACATAAAGGTGCATCCAGGAAATTGTTTCTTGCTTGCATGCATTTTAAAGTTTAATTCAGGAAAACTTTTCAAGCTTGAGAGCCCATAACAACTCATAACCCATAACGAGTTCATCCACTTTGAAAGAGATGTAGATAAATTTGTATAAGTACACACATCTTTTTAAATGTAGTTTATCTTGAAGAATTTTCTAAATAACACCTACCTTAGATCCAATTTGATTACCACATTGTCCAACTTGTAGATGAACAATTTCACGCATTTTACAATGAACAATCCCAATTTATTTGTCAGTTAATTACTTTTGACCTACTAATAATATCCTTTTTATATATTTTTTAAATGTGTGTGCTTTATAGTTAATCTTTGTGTGTCCTGGTATCAAATCAACTCCGCTTTTTACAATTGGTAGACTTATTTATATTCAAAGTTGATTTTATTTAATTAAAGTGTTATAGTGAATGACACAACGAATCCTATTGGTTAAGTTTAAAGCTTCTACCCAAAAGAAGAAGAATATTATTCAAGAAAACTAAGAAGACAGGTCTTATGACATTAAGAAGAAACTTAATGAGATAACATGTAATCATTATGGTCCACTAAAGAACGCCTTCGTTTTGTATGTTGTTTCTGATACTAAAGGTATTGTTTGTAGACTGACGATCTTTAGTGCTCTATTCTCTGTTCAGAAGATCAAATCAACATGTTTTATCAGTTATTAAAATAGATAATTATTTAGGTACTTGGTATTGAAACAATAATATTCATATTCAGGAACAATCTATTAAACTTTAGTTTGGTTTTAGGTGGAAAGAATTTATAACTTTATGTATCGTAAAACGTGATTATCTGGGAAATATAAGAGATCAATACAAACTTTAGATAGTTAATGAACCAGAAAAGTAACTAACATGTGACTGATACGTGGTGTTTTAATTCAAAAGTAATTGTAAATAATAATACTAATGATTATGACCCTAACTTTATCAATAAGATGACATAGAAATCACCTAACTTCTTGATCTAAAAAAGCCCCACTCAAAGATAATTCATGCAAACGAACTCACCGTGAGACATTTATATTTGTTCTATACGCATACCAAAATGGTGTAGTATAAAAATTTAACTATTTTCGGATACCTATTTATCTTCAGAGTACTTACATTTAAGTCAGTTAACTTACTGATACTCATATATTTAGTGTTATCTAGTGAGGTCATACATTTTTCTGTACATTACCTTAAAAGTCATATACATCTGATCAATACAATAATGTGGTTATCCATTCGTGCTCATTTAGAAGCATATATTTGTTTAGCAGCCTAAACAATATTTACAATCATAGTACATAAACACAAGTTCCATGTTAAATTTAGGCATAACAGTTGACCAATACTCATCAAGTTGATCGCCGCAAATCAAAATGCCTTTAATTAAACAACTGGAACCCCTCTTGGGTTACTGCCGGTCCCAAGCTGGGATAAAGGAGGGGAGTTGGGCATGGGGTTAGCGACCCCAGCCTCTAGAAAAACTAACTCGTTAAAAAACGCTAACCAGGAAAATTATTCAAACTATTAACACTCTGCCCTATGAGTTAGGTCTTCACTTAGGAGACTTATGACGCCTCACGGTGAAAGCTGAGTTCCTTCGGAAGTCACGATGCTGATGCCCCTTCTGACAACCAGGGCAACAATCTTTATAGGTGCATGATATGTGCGTACAATGTGGGAGACCGGGAGAGTCACCCAAGTTACTGCAGAAATGAAAAGATACAGCCTGAAGGTGCTGGGAATCAGTGGAACACATTGGACGCAGGTTGGACAACAAAGACTAGCTTCAGGGGTACTCCTGTTATACTCCGGCCATGAAGAAGAAAATGCCCCACATACACAAGGACTTGCATTGATGCTGTTCAAACAAGCACAAAATGCACTTATCGGATGGGAATCTCATGGACCAAGGATCATCAAAGCCTCCTTCAAAACCAAGGCTGCAGTCAATCGTCCAACAAATGTCCAACAAAGGACCTGACCATTCTGATGGGAGACCTAATTGCCAAGGTTGGAATGGACAACACCGGATATGAAGACGTCATGGGACGACATGGACTGGGATAGAGAAATGAAAATGGTGAGAGATTTGTAAACCTATGTGCCTTCAATCTCAGCAGCAGTAGGTCTCAATATAAACAAAGAGAAAAGCAAGACTCTTCGATACAATACAATATGCACCAATCAAATTACACTTGACGGAGAAGCTTTGGAAGATGTGGAAACCTTTACGTATCTGGGCAGCATCATTGATGAACACGGTGGATCAGATGCAGATGTGAGGGCGCGGATCGGCAAAGCAAGAGCAGCATACCTACAACTGAAAAGCATCTGGAGCTCAAAACAATTGTCAACCAACACAAAGGTTAGAATTTTCAATACAAATGTCAAGACAGTTCTACTGTATGGGGCGGAGACGTGGAAAACTACGAAAGCCATTATCCAGAAGATATAAGTGTTCATCAACAGCTGTCTACGCAAAATATTTCGGATCAGATGGCCAGACACTATCAGCAATAAGTTACTGTGGGAGAGAACAAACCAGATTCCAGCAGAGGAAGAAATCAGGAAGAAGCACTGGAAGTGGATTGGGCACACCTTGAGGAAATCAGCTAATTGCGTCACAAGACAAGCCCTGACATGGAATCCTGAAGGTCAACGGAGAAGAGGGAGACCAAAGAACACATTACGCCGAGAAATTGAGACAGACATGAGAAGAATGAACAAGAACTGGATAGAACTAGAAAAGGAAGCCCAGGACAGAGTGGGTTGGAGAAAGCTGGTCGGCGGCCTATGCTCCATTGGGAGTAACAGGCGTAAGTAAGTAAGTAAGTAATGTGCCTTCAATAAACTGGTCATAGGTGCACTATATTCCCACACAAACGCATTCACAAAACCACATGGACTTCACCGGATCACACCACATAGAACCAAATTGACCATATCTGCATCAACAAAATGTTCAGGAGGACCATGAGGGATGTGAGAACCAGGAGAGGAGCTGATATAGCATCAGATCATCACTTGCTGATCGCGAAGATGAAACTGAAGCTTAAGAAGCATTGAACAAGGGGGCGGGCAACATCACAAAAGTTTAATTTGGCTTTTTTCGGGATACTGACAAACTCAACAAATTCAAGATAACCCTCAACAACAGGTCCCAGGCCTTTCATAATCTACTCAGTGGAGAGGGAACTACCATGGAGAGCAACCGGAAATGGATAAGAGAAGCAATCAATTCAACATTTCAGGAGGTTTTGGCCCACAAGAAGCACCATCACAAGGAATGGATCACTGTTGATATACTGGATAAGATGGAAGAAAGGAGGAACAAGAAGGCAGCAATCAATACCAGCCGAACAAGAGCAGAAAAACCAACTCACAAGCCGAATACACAGAAGCAAACAAGCAAGTGAAGAGGAGCATCAGAACCGACAAACGTAAATATGTAGAAGATTTAGCAATGATAGTGGAAAAGGCTGCAAGAGAAGAAAACATGAGACGATTGTATGATATAACAAAGAAACTCGCTGGAAATTACCGAAACCAGAACGAACAGTGAAAAGCAAGGAAGGCAAGGTAATCATCAACATTGAAGAACAATGGAACAGGTGGGTAGAACACTTCAAATAACTCTTGAATCAACCAGCTCCACTGAACCAAGCCAACATCGAAGCGGCACCCACGGACCTCCCAATCGACATCGGCCCACCAACGATTGAAGAGATCAGCATGGTCATCAGACAAATCAAGAGCGTCAAAGCAGCGGGACCAGACAACATTCCAGCTTGTTTATGATTTTGAATTTATATTTATAAATTCAATAAAAATTTGTTTGCATAGTTATTTCATATAAATTTGTTTAATCCCTAATTATATTGAATCATCATACTTCTCTTGTCTACTTTACATTACTATATGTATTTATGCGATAGTGCTCTCGTTGAAGCCATCATCTTCTGAAGAAACCATTTTTTTCAACTATATACTAAAGTTTCCTGAATAAACTAAAGAAAAGCGCACAATTATTATATGTTTGAAATTGATCGGGTAGAAGTAGCCTAATTATTGACTAACTCACTAACCCAGTGATTAATGGATTCAATATCATATTAAACCACCTTTATCTATTGTTTCGTTCAGTGAATCAACGGTGCGTTAAAACCGTTAAAGGAATACATTTGACATAGGCATGAATGGCTGTTATTATGAATAAAATCTAGCAAACATGAACTACTCTCATAGAAAGTATAAATTAGATTTGTCGAACAAAAGCAATCAGTAATCATGCTGACCCCTATATATCACTCTTAATCATTGATTGACCTTTAAATTAAAAAGAAACACCTTGCAATAAATCATTCAGTTCATGAGATATAGTGTATAGCGTTTTATTTTTCTATTAACTGACGTAAAAGTCAATCTATTCACCGTATATATAAGAAATCATATAACCAGAATGATTATTACATTTGTTTGTAGAAACACAAAATATGGATTGGTAATCCATAATATCGATTGTTTAAACATGAATTTTTAATGAAACACAAATAAATTCAGATACCACAAATCAGATTCATTTTAAGATAACGCTATGATATGAAGAAAAGCAACTCCGCCTGTAGCTCTTTTAAAGTTACTGCCGGTCCCAAGCCGGAGTGAAGGAGGAGGGTTGGGCATGAGATTAGCGACCCTATCCCGTTAAAAAACTAACTCGCTAAAAAAACGCTAACCAGAAAAAATAATTCAAACCATTTAAACTCTGCCCTGGGAGTTGAAAGAAGAATTATGACGCCTCATGACAAAAAACCGAAATTCTCCGGAAGTCACGAGGCTGATGCCCCTTCTAACAACCAGAGCAACACTCTTTATAGGTACATGGAACGTTCGGACAATGTGGGAGACCGGGAAGACCAATCAAATAGCAATGGAAATGAGAAGATACAAATTGGCAGTACTCAGAATCAGCGAAAACCATTGGACACAAGCTGGACAACAAAAGCTAGGTACGGGAGAGATGCTGCTGTACTCCGGTCATGAAGAGGAAAATGCTTCATACACTCAGGGAGTTCCTCTGGTGATCTCTAAAGAAGCACGAAATGCACTTGTAAGATGAGAATCTCATGGATCTAGGATAATTAAAGCATCATTCAAAACAAAGAAGAAGGGAATCACAAAGAATATTATCCAATGTTATGCACCCACCAATGATAGCAACGACCACGATAAAAATCAGTCCTATGAAAGGCTGCAATCAATCATAGCTAAATGCTCAAGAAAGGACCTCACAATCCTGATGGGAGATCTAAATGCTAAAGTTGGAGTGGACAACACAGGATATGAAGATATAA